TGGCTCTACTTCGAGAGATGAAGGAAGGCTTCTTGGAAGAGGTGGCAGGAACTGAGGCCTAAGGGATGAATAGGAGTTCACTAGGCAGACAGAAGGGGAAGGCCTTCCAAGCAGAAGTCACAGGCAGCAGGCCCCAGAACCCCTCCACCTATGCCCTTCATTCTCCAGGTCACTCATCTTCTTCCTCCTCCAAGTTGACACAGTTTTGAGTCCTTCTCCTGCCCCCCCCCCCCACTCCACCCCTAATCTTGGTAACTCCACTCAGGACACACCCTTCCCTCTCACACGATGGGGTGTGCAGACAGAGCCAAACCTCTTCCAGGGTGGTCTGCCTGGTGTAGATCAGAGTCAGCCATCACCTTTCTTTTTCTGGAAGCTCCACTGGGTCCAGCCTGCCTGAGGTTTTTTTGGCACCCACATCCTTTGGCTGACTCACGCTGGGCCTACAAGGCATCTGGACAGCTAAGTCATTTGTCACACGTGCTCCTGTTAAACCACATCTCCTGCAGCTTTGTGCTTCTGCTGTTGTTTTGCTTTCACAAATTTTCATGGGTGTTTTGAAGTTCAATAATTTGATCTACACAAACTGCTAATTTCAGTTCCTGGTTGGCCGGGGCTATGTGGAAGCAAACTGTGCCACACACACAAAAAAGCACTTTAGAACACACCCTGGACACAGAAACCCTCTGTCATTCTGAGACCATTGTGGTGAGGAGTGATTCAGACTCACTGCAGCTCCAACCAGCCTTCACAGATCTAAGAGGCTGTCTCGGATTTGAAGACGCCTTTTATGAAGGAAAGGCCACGAGGGGGGTGTGGGCTGTGATGCTCTGCAGGAGCTGAGCACAGACGGAAGGAAATTGGAAGGGTATGTTTGTCTGGTTCCCCACAGCTCCCACCTTCCTCGGTCAGGGAGAATCGGGCCATTGTCTAGGTGGAACACTTGGCTTGTTTATCTTCGTAGGCCCAGCTTGGTACAAGGTTTCACTTAGTTTTCCTTCTACCCAAAAAAATGACCACAGGAAGGGGCTGACCTGCCTTTGGCAAATGTCCAGTTCATGCTCTCCTTTGCCGTCTCTCTGCCTCTTTCCTCTATCACTGGCTTCTCACAGAAAATAAGAAGAGCAAGCTTCTCCTTTGGTTCCAGTAAAAGCAGCATTTATTTATTCATTCATTCATTCATTCATTCATTCGGTACCTAGTATGTGCCAGGCATTGTTCTAGGTTCTGGTGATCCTAAAGTGAAAGACACAGTCCCACACTGACATCCAGAGGTCACAGTTCAGGAGGAAGCTCAGCAATATTCGAGGCAGCACAAGGGCAGATGGGAGCACATGGAAGAGGCATTTGACCCAGCCTGAGGGAGAATTGAAAAGTTTTCTAGGAGAGGAAGCATATGGGCTGATTTTAAAAGTAGAGTAAAAGTTAGCTATGAACAATGATAATTATTATTAATGGTTATTAAATATTGTTATAGTTTTCTTAAGCATCTTCTATGTGCCAGGTACTGTTAAAATCTTTGCATATTATTTTATTTGACTCTTCACAACACCACTAAGAGAGAGCTGCTGTAGTTATTCCAACCTCACAAATGAGAAAAGTGAGATTTAGAAAGGTCAGTTTGCTCACGGTTTGACTGGGAATAAATGGCAGAAGTGAGATTTAGACTCAGATTTTTCACACTCCAGAGTCCATTCTTTTACCCACGGCTGCTGTGTGTGTTTGTGCATGTTGTACACTACACAACTCCAGTGATGTCCTGCCCTTAATGATGCATTATGCACAGGAAGGATATCCAGGCAGAAGAAGCCTCCCTTACAGAAATATGGGAAAACAACCTGTATTTGGGGAACTGGCTCTGCAATGCAGCTATATTAGGGGCAAAGGAACTCTATGAAGATGGGCAGGTCCTTTGCACCTCCTGGGATTGCTTATGGAACTGGCTGCTGGTATTCTGGGACAGTTCCTTGGGCTTTGTACTTTGCTGTAGAGACCCAATTCTTCCTTCTGACAGAGCTGTGGTAGGCTCAGCAGGATATGACATGGATTTGCAGTTCCCTTCTGAGCTGTTGGCCACACAAACATTCAAGTACACAGGGTGCAAGTGGTCCCAGGTCTCCAAACTGCTGTTCTACACATGGTGGACCAGTTTCCTATGCTTGGGCACCAGATATAACCTGACAAACAAATCAGTTTGATAGCCATGCCACCTTGATTTCCTGGTAGAAGTATTTCCAGTAGCAATGAGCAGCCCAAGGAACTGGGCATATCCAGAGTGAATACCTACAATGTGCCAGGAAACTGTGATTCCTCCAATGCTCACACCTTTACGAGTCAGGCATTATTATGACCTTTCACTTTGCTGATGAGGAAACGGGGGTTTATATAATAAAAGGCTAATATGCAAATTGTCCCCTCAACTGGGAGTTCGATCAGGGAGTGGGGCCGGCCAACTAACCACCCGTGGCCCCTCCCCCCCGGCCAGCCCAGCCCAATAGGCCCTGATTGGGCTGGGCCGGGCCGGATAGCACCCGTGCACAAATTCGTGCACCAGGCCTCTAGTGTGTAATAAGCAGTCATGATTCTCATGAAAACTCTCTGGTGCCACAGCCCATATGTTTCTGTCTTAATGTCAGCCCTCAGAAGAGGGCAGGGAACACTTTGGATGTTTCTTAAAGCACCTGACGGCATTTATTTGATGGTGTCTCTCAACTTTTTTTCAGATTTTTCTAGCACTGGGGTCCTCACTCAAATGTCAGGGCTCTCTCTCAGGTGGTGAGGCTGTTTTTAGACATGATTTTTAAGACATGCATGATTCTGAGAAAGAGGTTCCATGACAGTGTGTTCAGAAACTGCAGGCAAGGATTACAGAAAAGTGCCCCTGTCACTGGGGAGCCACTGTGAGGGCAGGTTAAGCCAAGGTGGTGGGTGTTGCCAAGTCTGGTATCTTCTGACCTTGAGTGTCTTTTTAAGCTTGGTCATATGTGTTATAGAGAGCTGGGATAGCTGTAATGTAGGTGTCTTATTATAGCCATTTTCAAGTTTTGCTGAGACCTCAAAACATTTTATTTAAGAAAGAAAGAAAGAAAGAAAGAAAGAAAGAAAGAAGAAAGAGAGAAAGAAAGAAAGAAGAGAGAGAGAGAGAGAAGAAGAAGAAGAAAGAGAAAGAAAGGAAGAAGAAAGAAAGAAGAAAGGAAAAGAGAAAGGAAAAGAGAAAAGAAAGGAAAGGGAAGGGAAGGGAAGGGAAGGGAAGGGAAGGGAAGGGAAGGGAAGGGAAGGAAAGAAACACAGAGAGTCCGATGAGGATATTGGGAGCAGGCTTTGGGAATGGGTCCATGTCCTTTTTCATCAAATGAGCTGCTAGTCAGCCCCTACTTCTACTTCTAGGTTCACATGAGGAGGCCTGCAGTAGCCAATGAGTCCCCTGTCCCTCCCCATCTCTCAAGCCACTACAGCCTCCACTGGGACACAAAACATGGAACTACCATGGTCCCCAGACACAGCTGGCCCAGCTGCACTCACATTGCCCCTTTTGGCCTTCACACGATTTAGGCGGAAGGTAAACACAGATCTGGCAGGTGCGTAGCAGGAAGGCCAGGTGCACTGAAATCCCAAGAGGCAGGAAGAGCCCATGCTGTGCTGTGTTATAATGACAGTTTACCTAACAACAATTAAAAGGCAACTCTTTACCACTGAATTTGGACGCCCCCATTCAGGTGGGAATGGTTCTCTCCAGCTTGGAGCCTGGACAGTTTTATGAATGGGCTCTTTTAATCAAGTGCAGGAGGCTGTAGGCTCTCGATTAGGGAGGACCCCAGGTCAGTTAGAAAATGTCACCTTCTCGATCAGCGGTTCTCAACCTGTGGGTCACGACCCCTCTGGGGGTCGAACGACCCTTTCACAGGGGTCGCATAAGACCATCGGAAAACACATATAGTATATCAGATATTTACATTACGATTCATAACAGTAGCAAAATTACAGTTATGAAGTAGCAACGAAAATAATTTTATGGTTGGGGGTCACCACAACATGAGGAACTGTATTAAAGGGTCGTGGCATTAGGAAGGTCGAGAACCACTGTTCTAGAAGATGTTTTATAGAATTTCATACCTGAAACCTATATAATTTTATTAACCAATGTCACCACAATAAATTAAATAAAAAAATGAAAAGAAAATATCACCGTCTAAAAACCAAAATAAAATGAAATCATATGTATAAACTGTGGTGACTTGTAAATGTATTTCTGGAGTTTTTCTAATATCAGCAAGGGAACTAACATATAACATAAATTGTGATTCAGTCATTATAGTAGGCCTGAATTAATTCACCCATGATAGAGGACGTTTGTCAAGTTTGCGACTGCTTAGCTTCTAAGCCTTCCCTCTATTTGGGGGAACTTCCCACTGTGTGAATCAAAGCAAGCCTCACCTTCCACTAGGGAAGTAGGAAGATCTAGAGACTAACCTCTTAGGACAAGGGCAAATGTCCTTAATTAGGACAAAGGCAAATGACTTAGGCTGGCCAATCAGATGCTCTTGCATGGAACTTTAAATTGTGAGTAAATGAGGCAAAAATGAATGAAAAGTTAGGATCCCTGGCCCCAGCAGGTTTGGCTCAGTGGATAGAGCATCAGACTGCAGACTGAAGGGTCCCGGGTTCGATTCCCCTCAAGGGCACATGCCTGGGTTGCAAGCTCGATCCCTAGTAGGGGGCGTGCAGGAGGCAGCCAATCAATGATTCTCTCTCATCATTGATGTTTCTATCTCTCTCTCTCTCCCTTCCTCTCTGAAATCAATAAAAATATATTTAAAAAAAAAGAAAAAGAAAAGAAAAGTTAGGATCCCTGTATATTAGAAGGATCTGACTGAGGAACCCAGATTGGATTGTTTTTGCTAAAAGATGATTATCTTGTGTTCTTCTCCGTAGGCCCCTATCTTAATTTTGTTTGGTTCTCCAAATTCTTGGTAGCTTTATAATCTCCTTTCTGTTTACAGTAACCAGAGTTGTTTCCTGCTGCTTGCAACCAAGCATTGACTGTACATGTTTGGAATGCAAAGTCCCAAGTCCATTTCCAAGTGTTGTCGGGATACCTAGATGACTACAGTCTGAAATACGCTGCACATGGTAAGTGAGAGTACAGGCTTGAGTTCAAATCTTGGCTGCCACTTGCTAGCTGGGTCATCTCCTGCATGTTCCTTATCTTCTTAGGACATCTTAAGAACACTTTGTAAATGGTAACTAAAGCCCATTTGAACAAGCACCCATAATCATACCAGTTTTGTTTTTTTAAAAAAAATGTTTTTATTGATTTTTAGAGATATAGGAAGAGAGAGGGACAGAAAGAAACATCAATGAGAGAGAAACATCATTGATTGGCTGCGTCCTGCATGCTTCTTCCTGGGGTCGAGCCTGCAACTGTGCATGTGCCTTGACCTCTTAGTTCATGGATTGGTGCTCAACTGCTGAGCCACACCGGCCGGGCTAAACATACCAGTTTTTAAAATCAGGAAGCAAACAATGATTGCCCAAACCCTGAGGTCACTGACATTGTTTTTGGAGAGAAGTCTAACAATTTCTGAAATCTCCTGCCACCTCTCATCCCCTTTCAGAGAAAAATGTCTGTGGTTCCTGTGTATCTGGGCCCATGTTTTGACCAAAGTTGTTTGGACCAAGGATTGACACCTGATTCAAAAGCTATCCTCTGTAGGCCAGACAGCAGCCCATGAGATGTCCTGATACAAGTTTGTCAGAAAAGGAGCACCTTCTGCAGGTTGGTGTCTGGCTGACTCAGTTGAACTGCTGGAGATATTGAGGCAAACAGTCAGAAAAAAGAGGCGGTAGAGACAGTCTTGATGCAGGTTGGAGTCTAGAGTCTCAAGCAAAAGGTACCCGCTGCGGAGAGGCCAGCGAGATAAGCCGACAACTGAGGAAGACAGAAAACAAGTAACTTAAGCACTTACCAGTTCTGCCTATTCGTTTAGATAAGCAGGTACCTGTGTTGTATCTCAAATGCCAGCTGGTTTTCTTGATTTCCTATTTTCTCACTTACTTCTCTTTGTAACCATATAGCAAGCCCCACTGACTGAGATAACCTGACGAGAACTCTGTTTCTTGCTATTCGTGGTAGACTGAATAAGCCCTCCCTCCTATATGTCTATATCCTAATACCCAGAACCTGTGATTGTTACTTTATAGGGCAAAAAGGATTTTGAAGATGTGATTAAATGAAAGGTGTTGAGCCCTGGCCAGTGTGGCTCAATTGGTTGGAGCACTGTCCTATACACCCAAAGGTCTTGGGTTTATTCCCAATCAGGACACATACCCAAGTTGCAGGTTCGATCTCCTTTCCAGGTATATAGGGGAGGCAACTGATCGATGTTTCTCTCTCTTTCAAAAATCAATTTAAAAAATTAAATATTTTGAGATAGACTGGATTATCTAAGTGGGCCCAATGCAATCCCAAGGGTCCTCATTAGAAGGAAGCAGGAGGGTCAGAGTCAGTAGTAGGAGCTGTGACCATGGAAACAAGAAGTTGAAGTGATGTGAGAAAGGGGCCAGGTGGCAAGGAGTGCAGGTGGCCTGGAAAACTGAAAAGGGCAAGGGAATGGGATTCCACCCGGAAGCCTGCAGAAGGAACCAGTCCTGCAGACAGGACACTTGGCTAAATCCTAATGACACTGATTTCAGATTTCTGACCTCCAGAACGGAAAGGTAGAAGAGAGTGTGCTTTTCTTGAGGAAAACAAGCATCTTAACACCTGACAGTTCTGCCTATTCATTTACTATTGTGGGAAGTTACCTGATCTTCTCTGAGGAGATCATTTCATTTTGCCAGGAGGAGATAAAGGGAGGGAATGGAATATTAGATATTAAATTAAAATGACAAGGAAGTTGTCAATGGGGCCACAGTCACTCAGAGAATATGCCATAAGAGCAGTATTTGTAGGGAGCAAGAATTTGACATTTTGATAAAAACAAAAAAAACACACAAAACACAACATGAACAGAGACAGATGAGAGCCCTGGTAAAACTGAAACTGCACTTGACCCAGGCCTGTACCCATCACACCGTCATTTTTCATTCATTCAAAATCTGTCTGGAGATAGATCTCCATGCTCTTGTTAATTACTTCTTTCAAGGCATTCTCATCATTGTAATTGAGCACACTCCTGGGTGCCATCCTAGAAGTGAGTACGTTAATGACCATATACAACATACTGAGCCAAGGACTTACACACATTAACTGGCTTTCTGGCACACCTTTCAACCCTCCTATTATAATTTATAGAGAACACTGCCAGGTGGGCTCACCTGTCATCTTCCATAAAGACCCAAGTGAAAATTCTTTTCTGTAAAGCTCCAAGTAGTTTAATCAGTTCATTCTGTGAGTTCCTCACAAAAGGCTTTTGACTGCCAAAGAAAATTAAGCTTTTTTTTAAAAAAAGTTTCCCTTCATGTGGCATCTTTTAGGATAAATGCATTTTGAAGGTAAGGACTAGGTTTTTATACATGTTGTTCTTTATCGCTTAGTAGCCTAAATATCTGTCTATCTATATAAAAAGCCTAAGCGACCATCTGACCGTAACATCGTTCACCTGGTAGTTATGACGTGCAATGACCACCAGGAGGCAGATGCTCTGACTAGTAGAGGAGGGAGCCCGATTCCTCGTTGCTGCTGGGGCACTGTCAGCCAGAATCTGCTTCACCCGCACCCGGACCCAGAGAGGAGGGAGCCTGATTCCGGGGTGTGTCACTGGAGAACTGCTTTCTTGCAATCCAGGACCTGTCAGGGGATGTCAGAGAGCCGGTTTTGGCCCGATCCATGCAGGCCAGGCGAGAGACCCCAACAGTGCACGAATCTGTGCACCAGGCCTCTAGTACTTAATAAAGAAACCTTTTGACATGGTGATTAGGATTAGTCTGATAATTACTGTATTGATCATTTTGATAATTACTGGGTTCTTAGTGGCAGATAAAAGAATCCACTGTAGCTACTTTTAACAGAACAGGATTGGAACAGGGTATTTGGTAGCTCAGAGGTTTTCCAGCAGTGCCAGAGAAACAGGCGAGGCTCCCACACAACCACAACAATCCCAGGAGAAATGCCCAACCATAAACAGGACTGTTCTCGTGGAAACCCCCATTGCTGCTGCTCACCACTTAATACCTGTGATGGCTATAAGCTGGACACTGGAACTTCTATCAAAGCTTCCCCACCCTCATGTTGCAAAAAGATGGACCCGCCCACATGCAGCTGCCACTTTATTTGAATCATTGTCACCTTTCTGGGGCACATGTGCATCTGTTTGGCAGAACCTGGGTTCTTTGCAGAATCCTAGCTACAAAGGAGTCCAGGCACTGTGGATCTTAGAAAGGGTTGGAATGGATATTGTATGGGTCAGTCAATCCCTGGAATCTGTCACAACGACCTTATCACAGGTAATTGGTGTGACAGCATGGTGGCAATCGTGAGGGTCATAATGAGAACAATAGCATTTTTGGAGGGCTTTCTATGTGTCCAGCACTGTGTTAAGTACTCTGTGTGCATGATCTCATTCAACCCTCAAAGCAAACCTGAGAGATAGATACTGCTCGTATCCTTACATTATAAGTGAAGACATTGAAGCACAGAGAGTTAACGAACTTGCCTCAAGTCTCATGGGAAGTGCAGTCAGGATTCAAACTCAGGTCTGTCTAGAACGCAAGTCTGTGCTTTCAACTAGAGTATTGATGATACTTTTTAAAATGATTATCTTTTTGGTCCATTTGTGAAGGCCAGCTTGACTAGCTAATGTGTTCCCGAAGTTTCTGAAAGGCTTTTGTAAACATTGGGACTCTGGTACTTGTGTAACTGGAAAAAAATATTAGATGTTCTGAATGTGAAATGCAAAGGAAGAAGTACAGCTGACCTGCCCTGGGTTATATTACGTTTGTGTCAGATCTAAGGTGACCAGCCAATGATAGGAGATGAACCAAATGGAAAAAGTTCATTGCAAGAATTTACCTTTGAAGAGGATGGAAAAAAGCATTAAATTTCCATATCTGGTACAGTCTATACAGGTTGCTTTATCCGAAGTGGGGTGAGGGAGGAGCGACCCTTAAAAAGACTAACCTTAACTCTAGGCAAAACTTAAATGATTTTTTCTTTTTTAAAATTTATTTTAAATTTTTTTTATTGAATTTATTGGGGTAACATTAGTTAATAAAATTATATAGAGTTCAGGTGTATAATTCTAAAATACATCATCTGTATATTGTATTGTGTTCACCACCCAAAGTCAAGTCTCCTTCCATCAGCATTTATCATCCTTTACCTTTTTTCTCTTTCAAAATTTCTAAAGCCAGAGCCAGCCAGACAAGACGGGGCGTGTCCTGTTGTGAAATGATCCTGCTGCACAGTGAGCCTCAGGGCTGAGGAGCAAGTGCAATTAACATTCCAAGTTGCGAATCACTTCCCCACCACAGGAGCCCTGCAGCATCTTATTGTGACTACAGAGGTTGGACTGAATGACACTTTCTTAATGGAAAGTGTCCATGTTAAAGACCGACAGAAAAGTTCTTCAAAGTGATAAATTCAAACATCGCACAGTGTGTAAAACACTGAATTAGAGGATGGGGAAACAGTTTCAAAGAGTGTGTGGCCCTGGCCGAGTGGCTCAGTTGGTTGGAGCGTTGTTCTGTGCACCAGACTGTTGTGGGTTCCATCCCCGAGTCAGGCTCAAATGGAAGCCAGCAGATCCAGGCTTCTCCCCCACATCAATGTTTCTCTCTCTCTCTCTCTCTCTCTCTCTCTCTCTCTCTTTCTCCTCTCATCCCTCTTTAAAAAATCAATAAAAACATATCCTTGGGTGAAAGGATTATGTAGTTCAGTGTCTTCCTTCCACCCCTTCTTTCAACTTAAAAAAAAGAAAAAACTATGGAAATACTCGTGTGTGTGTGTGTGTGTGTGTGTGTGTACACACTTAAATGGACTTTGAATGGTATGTGAACAAATATATATTTTTATTTTCATATTTGTTAGTCTAAATGTATGGCAAAAAATATATTCTCAAATGTGCAATTGCTTATAACAAGGCTTAGAGTGAGAGAGAGAGAGAGAAATCACTGCAAGAAACTATATTCACCAAGTAATTGTTAAATAAATAAATAAATAAATAAATAAATAAATAAATAATAAATAAATAAAATAGTACTCTAGTTAGCAAAAACAAAAATTATTCAGGTGGTCCTCCAGTGATGGAAGTGTAGGAAAGGGTCCAAGGGAACAACTGCGGAGTTAAGTGCCTACTCTGTTATTGTCAAGGTCGGGGCGATCTTGAATGAGTCACTTCCACCTGCTCCCCGACCCCCACCAGGTGAACTTCAGACAAAAATAATAGGAGAGACTAGGGAGAGTGTTGGAACATGGTGGGTGTTTTTATTCCAGGAGCCCAGGGCTCCCCAAGGTGTCTCAGGCGCTGGCTGAGGGAGGGTGAGGCCAGCTGTCCAGGCTCCTGCCTCCTGAAGCCTCAGCCAAAGCAGCTTCATTGGTTTACACATCAAGCTTCTAACAGAACTTGCTTTGAAAACGGATTTTTGTTTATCCTCACGCGAGGTTATGTTTATTGATTTTAGAGAGAGAGGAAGGGAGAGACAGGAAAGAGAGAGAGGGAGAGAGAAACATCAACATGAGAGGCAAACATTGATTGGTTGCCTCCTATACATGCCCTGACTGGGGATCAAACCCGCAACCTAGGTATGTGCCCTGACTGGTAATCGAACCCACAACCTTCTGGGGTACAGGATGATGCTCCAGCCAACAGAGCCACTGGTCAGATTTTACTAACTTTTTTTAAAGTCTGAAAATGTTCCTCTCAGCCTGAAAGGATAATAAAATTTTTATATTTTGCTTTTATAAACCATAACTAACCAAAAAGCTAATGGTATTTACATAAGCTCACTAAGAGTGAGGCTTGTTTCAGGAATTTGGGCCAAATTATAACAGATAACATGCTTTGATCATGTACTATATACCAGGCACTATGCTATATATCCCTTGAAAAAACAAAAATGACAACAACAAATCACCACCATGAGGTACATCTATATGATAAAGAGCCAGAGGCAGAGCTTTTGACGCTGACTGGCATAGAAATTGGCCAGCAGAGGAGGGCAGTTGGGGCAAGATCAGGCCTTCAGGGGAGGGCAGTTAGGGGTGATCAGGCAGGCAGAGGCAGTTAGGGGCGAGATAAGGCTGGCAGGGGAGGTCCCTTGGGGGCGAGATCAGGCTGGCAGGGGAGGGCAGTTGGGGGCAAACAGGCTGGCAGGGGAGGGCAGTTGGGGGTGAGATCAGGCCGGCAAGGGAGGGCAGTTAGGGGTGATCAGGCAGGCAGAGGCAGTTGGGGGTGAGATCTGGCCGGCAGGGGAGAGCAGTTGGGGGCTCGATCAGGCAGGCAGGCAGGCGGGCAGAGGCAGTTAGGGGTGATCAGGCCCGCAGAGGCAGTTAGGGGTGATCAGGCAGGCAGAGGCAGTTAGG